TACCTATGTAGCATCATGTTTTTGTTACAACACAGCACATAATTATTTTTTTGTTATTTTATTGTGAATGTTAACTATTTATTTCCTATTAAATTGAACTACTGTACTTCAATCCTACCTTTTTATTCAGTTGGAGGACTAACACCCTACACCCCCATAAAAAGAACAGCAATATCAAAACAGTTCAGACTTTAGACTCAAAACAGTTTGAGGGGAGTAACCCAACTATGAAGAATGATTATGGCACAACACCACAAAAGATCTTTCACAAAATTAACTAGCAAAACTGCAATGCACACCAAGAGTACTCTTAAAGTCTGAGTAGGGGTACTCCGACAATGTTGACTTCACTTCAGATGTCGATTCGACGTCAAAATAGTCGAACAAACGTCATTTTGTTCCCCAAATCCTTCGACGTCGATTCATATTTCTCACTGGGAAAGGAATACAGTTCTTTGAATAAAGTATTAACTTCTTAACACGTTCTTGGGGCTCATTTTGGTCCCTAGGATCAAACATGGAAGCGTGACCACATAGTGGTCTCTGCAGGGAACGTGTTAAGAGTCGGACAAGCGCGACATTTTGTCCTGGTTTTGTAACAATGGACTTAACAATGGGCTTGTGCAGAGTTCCAAAACACGTAAAATAACTTGTAACTAGCATGCAGGAATAAGTAGCATACGAGCATCCAGCCCGATTATAGGATCCGTTTAATCGAAAGGAGAGGCTGGGTTCGCATACATTAGGGCTCCAATGCATACTAAACACACATCACTACGATGCAACGTCGTCCAAACATCAAATTTCTTTCCAAAAGCGTTAAAATGAGCGTCAAAAATCACGCTGGAATAGGTAGCGCCATCAGCGAGCGGCCGAGTGAAAAAGAACAAACTCACTGATTTATCCGTTTCCGCATGTTCAGTATGAGAAATAACCATGGTAGGTTGATCCGATTTTAACCTCTCAAATATGGACGGGAGCTCGAAACTGATCTGGCAGTTTTCCATACCAGAATAGCCGTAGTGGCACGTGATCAGCATGACCAATCAGAGCAATGCGGGAAAAAGAAAAGGTAATGAGTTTTTAGACGATCCAGTCTATACCAGCAGGTTTGGCGCGCGGGGGAGCGGTGCGTTATGCTTCGTCCCAACTTCCCCCCGCCCGCCAACAATCACTACTGTGCGCTAGGCCACGCCCCATTCGGCGCTCCCAGCCCCACAAACAATATACACTCAAAACACTCCTCCAAGCCTGGCCTGAAGGTGGCCCAGGCCAGGGCGCAGGGCCGCCGAGGCCTCGACTCCAAC